AGAGAAGAAATTTTCATACCTTTGGTTTTATTTATTCAAGGTTTTATACTTCTTAATGAAATTTTACCAGGTAAAAATCTTCCTAACATCAACTCTCACAGAATTTCAAAAGCTATAATAGATCATATTTTCTGAGTCACTTCAGTTCCTACTCAGATATTGTAAAGCCTTTGATAGTGAAGTCAATCCCATTGATTCATTTTTTAAGTAGCAAGAGATGGAGGTACTTCATCTTTTTCTATAGTCATAACTATATTAAGTCCTCAATTCTACTAGGTGTCATCAAAGGATGAGGAATCTTTCTCTGATGATATGGTGGCAGAATGAGGTCTTAGAATACAATATATTGTTCTACTTTATAAAACCTACTCTATGATGATTGGCTGTAAATGGAATACACAGGTCAAAAAAAATATAAATTGTGAGGAGGAAAATATTCAGACAAAATAATAAACAGAAGACACCTAACCTCTTCCACTTTATTATTATTATTAAAATATTAAAATAAAATTATTTATGTATTATTATTAAAATATTAAAAATATTATTATTAAACAAAACCAAAACCATTGTTCATATTTAGATGAATGGAATAAAATAAGAAAATATAATAACAGTTATTATTTTATTATATATAAAAAGAATAAAAGTCTTACAATATCAAATTTTTCTTTTATGAAGGTAATCACATGCTTCCTACTTGAAAAGAGAAAGTTTTAAGGATTCATTAATTTTCCTAGCTTAACTACTCCTTTTTTAAACTAGCAGCTAGCAATAACACGACAAAAAAGGTCTTAAAAGAAAACTACAACTCTTTCCATACTGTGTCCAAAGTGCTCATTTACTCATTGAAAGGGGCTGATTCAAGCATAGTTCAATTCATTAGACACCCATGCTCATATTTTTAAGCAGATGCTAGCAAGGCTTTGCACGACATGCAATGTTCCCAATGCCAAAGAACAGTGGGCAATCTGTTCTTCATCTTTTGAAGATGACTAGCTGATTATTCATCTCATTCTCTAACTATTAAGGATGAATAAAGTAATTTAGATTACTGAAAAATTAATCAAACCGAAATTTTCACAAAACTGGGGAAAAAGTTCAAATATTTTTTAAATCAAAGTAGTATTATTACCTACAGTAGAAAATATTACCTACAAAAAGCAAATGCACCAGGAAAAAAACCAATTTTTGACAGAATGTCTGGTCTCCAAAATATACAGTCCTGCCAGTGCTGTCATATTCTGCTTCCTAACTATTTTGCAAATTTTGAAAGAGTTCTTACAAGGCTTTGCCTTTTGGGGTTCATTCATTGCTATTGCATATTGCATCCTCAGCATTACCCAGAGTAAACCTCTGTTTCTATAATTGCAGCATCTTGGATTATCTATCTCAGTATATTGTATTAAATATGATACTAACTGAAGTGACTAATAGAAAAATTAGTAAGTTTTATTGTGTACTTAAGGGTAGGTCCTTTTTACCTCATTCAAGGCCTTCAGAAATCTGATGGATTTTCAGAAGAAGTTATTGAAGTCTACCTTTAGTCAATGGAAAGAGAACTGGAGCCTCCCCAAAAACAAGATTCCTACTGATATAATACATGAGTCTAACTAGGCACACTGAATTCCTTCCAGGAGTGAAACTTCCATTTAGGAAGACACATTTAAAAAGAGCCTGATAAACTATTTCACACTGGATATCTAATGGATAAAACCAAAGGTTCCTATTCCAAACACAGAGATGTAAAAGGGTAGATCTTCCACTGTTTCCAAAGGAAAATATTCCCATAAAGAATTTGAAAAGGAATGCTGAATGCTTCACATAGCAAATGATTTTTAACTCTGGAAAAATTAATTGTTCGCATTTTTCAGAACATGTTTTAAAAGCGTTTATTCTTTTTCATACCTTTAAAGCTGTATTTTAAATTGTAATTTAATTTGAGCAAATTTTCCAGTAAAAGTTAGCTAATTACTAAAATTCATGGTACGATATACTGCAACAGTTAATATCACAAAACTAGTTCCTTTAATATTTATTAGAAAAAAATAAAGTCTTTATGAAGAATCATGACAGAAAGCAGAAACCTGATTTTGGTCTCATTAAAGCAATGAAATTCTTGCCTGTAATGTCAGTTAGAAGAGGACTGTACCCTGGAAATAAATGCATCAGGTTTTCTGTGGAAACCTGGGCTGAGCTGTTGATATAAAAGGCATTTTGGTCATAGAGGCACTGGAAATGTCAGTATTGCTGCAGCTATTTTGTACATACCTTGAGTAGAGGTCAAATTAGCTCCTGAGTTACTCAACTTCTTCTGTTTGTTTTTGCTGCAGTTGCTTCCAATGTAGGTTCAGACCTGCTTACTTTATACGCTTAGGAATTGGAAATTTAATCATGTCAGTAAAATTATACTTCATGTTGTCACAGGAAGCCCTGCCAGGTAACTTTGTGTGACATGGCCCCTCCAAAATATTCCATTTGTTGACTTAACATATGCATTCTGAAAACTTGCTTCAAAAAAATGTTTTTAATGTATATATTATTACTTAATACATATTTATTTTTGTCTCTAGGATATAAATAACTACTGAAGCATCCTTGCTGAAGAAACACGGAATGCTGAAATATTCTCTTCTTAACTTACCATCAAAATGTTTCAAAAGCAGATATTTTTATTATCTTGAATAACAGACTTTAATCACACACTCGTAGCTGTGATTAAAAATATGTTTTTTCTTTTTTTACTGCTCAAATTCTACTTTGCCTTTCTATTGCTTTTTGTTATTGAGAGTCTATTGAATATTTGATTCATCACACTTTATTTTTTAAAGTTACTGGAACATTTCTAGTTTAGCAAGCATTTTCTTTCCATATAACTTCAAATATTCTGTAATAGTTAAGTGGACATAATGCAAATCCTTCTTTCATTTTGTCCTTCCCATTTTCTCATGTATTCCACCCTTTCTAATCCTGTTTTCTTAGTGGCTCATACAGTTGTAATTCAAATGAAAATCCTTTTATTTCTTTTAATTCAATATTTGCTCAACTATTGTTTTCTTTCTGTATTACTACAAAAATATTTTGAAGAATTCAGTCAGTCACCCCTATTTTCAATTTCTTCCAAATATTTTTACAAGAACTGTTTTTAAATTTGAGTAAAACATAATTTTCTATGCCTTATCTTACATGATTACATGGTCTAATCATAGACAACATCTGACAGCCATTTATCAATTTCCTTTATATGCATTTAATTTGTCTCAAAGTTACTTCTTCTATTGATGAAAGTAGAGTTAATAATACTGTTTTGAATTTGTTGTATCTGTACCATACATTATTAGTACTTATTAAAAAAAAAAAAAGAAAAATGATAGGTATGAAATTATGAAATAAGATGTTTTTTCATCTCTCTCTTGATTTATATTCTGAGAAGACAAACAGGTACTAATGAAATTCTTTTAGGAGAGGCATCATTATTGCAGCTGTGGTAGAAAATGTCTAAGGACAGCATAAATTGAAAGTTCACCGAAGAACAAAGATAGGCAGAAGTCCAGAAGTTTGTCTGCAATACAAAGGAGACCCAAAGCCAAAAACCAGAGATCCTCCACAAGCCACGTAAAGCTGGTGAAATTATTGTGTCATTTGAGATTTTGCCACTTTTTACTATCATGTGAATGTTTTTATTAAGAAAAAAAAGGTGTGTCTTTACCCTGCATAACAAATATAAACATTAGGCTTTTGGCAAAAAACATTTGAATAATAACTCAAATATTTTTTTCAATATAAGCCAAACAGGCTTAATAGTTTGATCAAGTCATTGATCAATTAATACAGCATTAAAAATATCAGTAAAGAAAATTCAATGCAGCTGAAAAGAGAAAAATATAAACTATCTAACTTTTAAAATTAAAGCAGTCTATATAGCATTGAGAACTGATTGTTTACTGGGGAAAAAAATAATTTCTAATATGAGTACTTTATGGTCCTGAGAGGAGATATGTGGACTCAGCTGGGTTGACCTTGGCAGGAAGCTGGGTACCCTCCAGAGGTGGCATCACTCTCCTTTGCAAAGGGACAGGGAAGATAAAGCATATAGCAAAAGCCTCATTAATTGAAACAAAGACAGGGAGAAATCACTCACCAATTGTCATCATGGGCAAACAGACTCGACTTCAATGTAATTAATAATGTAGGGTAATGGGAAGTAAAAAAAAAAAATCTTAAAAACTCCTTTCCTCCAATCCTCCCTTCTCCCTGTTCTCACCTTTACTCCCAATTTTCTCTACCTGCCCTCCACAACAGTGATGTACCTGAATTGAGGCTGTGATCAATTCATCACACATTGACTCTATCAGTCCTTCTTCTTCCAGATGGGGACTCCTCACACTCTTTCAAGGCTCCACCATGGGCTCCCTCTCATGGGAGACAGTCTTCCATTAACTTCTCCAATGTAATTTGTTTCAACAGGTTGTAGTTCTTCATAAATTGCCCCAGCGTGAATCCCTTACAGGTTTCAGTCCTTCAGGAACAGATTGCTCTGGCACAGTTCACTCACAGGGTCAGATTTTCAGCTCTAGAGTGGACTTCCCATGTGTAACAGTCTCTTTTGGGTACTTTGTCTGCTCCAGCATGGGATCTTTCATGGGGTCTAGGTGGATATCTGCTCTTCCAAGTACCTCCATGAGCTGCAGGGGAATCTCTGCTCTGGCACCTGGAGTACTTTGTCCCCTTCCTTATCTACTAACCTTGATGCATACTGGACTGCTTCTTACACATTCTCACATCTCTCCTATTACTGCTACCCCACAGGTGGGTTTCTTTGTGCTCTTCTCACAAATGTGTTATGCATGAGGCTGATGGTCTCAGCCTTGATCAGCAGCAGATCCACCTTGATCCACCAAGGATGGCATTGGTTCTGCCAGATGTGGGGGAGGTTCCTAGCAGCTTCTCACAAAAACAGCCCTTCTGCTACAAAAGCCTAGCCATGCAAATGCAATGCACATAATTTTTTACAAATATCAGAAAAATCTTGAATAAGCATAGAAGGAATAATTACTTATATTTGTCTAAAGCTGCATTAGGTGAATGGAATTGAAAAAACTGAAATGAAAATTTTCATTTTCTATTATGAAATAAAATGTAATAATGATTGAAATTACAAGATAAATATTTCATTACAAGATTCTTAAATTAAGTAGTTAAAACCAAGACTGAATAAACTACTAATTTCTGCAAGTAATTTTCTTGTTTACTTGTAATTTTAAAGGGGTGCTTTACTTAAAGGGTGTGCAAGTAATAAGAAGGCTGCCTGTTTGCCTTCACAGCACTGCTCTCAATGAGTTCTACCTCTCTTGAGCAGGGAAGAGGACTGAGAGCAGAAATGAGGCCTTGATGGAGAAGAAACATCTGAGAAAAGGATGAGGCTGGTAATGAGAAAAACTGTCAGTGGAGAAACAGGGGAACAAGCACATAAAGGGAAAAGGCATAAAATGAGAATCAGTTGTAGGGGGGGAAAGAAGGAAAGGAAAGGAGAAAGGAGAAGAAGTTAGTTTTCCAGTGAATTAGAGGGAACAGTTTAGACCTTACTGATAAACAGAAAGCTGTTAAACTGCTGGAGAGATAACAAGAAAAGAGGAATTAATCTGTCCTCCAAGAGGACAATGAAAAAGTAAAAACAGTCTTTAAATAATTTGTTTTTAAAGTTTTAAGTACATGTATTATTAAGTTGTTTACTCCTGGATTGGGTTTTATTGAATACTAGTTTACAAAACTCAAAGAGGATTGGCTTTTTTTTTTTTTTTTTCTTTTAACAAGTGCATACTTTAACAAAAAGCCACTGGTAAAATCACTTCAAAGTCCCAGGCTAGTCAGATATTGTGGTGATATGCAGAAATAGGAGGCACTGGAATGCCGAGGGAAAAACATTTTAAAGGACCCCTGGGCTGGGGTCCTCTGAAAAACAAAATTGTGTAGTACCTTCAGTCAGATGCCAGAGTAGTATGTTGATGTCATAAGCCTATTCTGTCAGCATCAAAATACTGTAAAACCAGGATTTGGTGGCTGCTGCTACCTAGACAAAGGTGGCATATATGTGGGACAATGGCTTTAAATTTTTGGGACTATTTCTATCTGATCTCTCCTGGTGGAGCTGGGATAGAGAAATGACCTTGTAAATTCCGCATGGTAGTTCCCATTACCCCGGTAATGGCAGTGATTCCCATCACCACCACACTTACACTTGTGGCCACCTTTGATCTGTATTAGTCCATCTCACACATGGCACTAAAATTCCTAGATGAGAAACCCTGAAAATGAGCATGCTTTCTCTTTGCTGAGCACCTCTGCATATGGGAGTTTGCCTACTATATCTGTAAGTTAGAGATAACAAGTTCTTTTAAAGGTTAATTTGCTCAGACAAAGGCATATTTTCAAAATAATTAGGTCTTTAAAATTATAAAAAAAAAACATGGGGAGAAGGACCTTTTTGTGATGAGAATATGCCTTCTGATATAGCCTGATCAAATGCATTCAAGGTTTCTGAATAAGAATGAATTTTGATGCTTTAGTCACAGAAGAAAGTAATTTATGGACCCTGTTTGATAGAATTGCATGATTCTCTCACAGGATTTTACAAAATCCTCATCTAAGATCCCAGGAGGTTGCCAAGTCTCTCCATTCAATCGTAACCCTGAGCTGAGTATCCACAGAAGTACGTTAATTACATGCAGGTGACCTTGGATTTTCTTCAAAGTTGTGGCCTTGGAAATTAAATCTAAATATTGATTAAAGGTTATGAATTACCAGATAAATCAAACACTTGATAAATCCAATTAAATTAATATTAAGTGTTTTTTTTCTTAATCGGAATGGTAAAAAATTTGGCATAACTTTAACAGTTTAGTTGAATATTGACCTGAGAAAAACCCTCCTTTTAGCTTTGTGGTTTGTTAGTTTGAGATTTTACAGATATGTGTGGTCAGATGGGAATTAAAAATTTTAGAAAAATCTTTGGGAATTTTTTTTTCCCTCTAAATGAGAAGCTAATATAAAAATAGCATTCTTGTCTTTCATTCTGTGCTGCCAAAGTGAAAACTGCCTCATTTGACCAGTTATGCATTTTTTTTTCTAAAAAACAGCCTTTATATTACTGCAAATTATGAATGTGTGTTCCTTATTTCAGGAAACTGTTCAACAACCCCAAGCCTCATCATGATCTGAAATTCTTCAGAATCAAACCAGCCAAGGAGCCAGCAGGGCTCATTGATAGAACTTTAGCTTGGAAGGGGAAAAGTGGTAAAATGGGCTCAGCAGTGATGAGCAAAGGGGTGGTGTGACAAAACCTGAGGAAATGACCATTAAGAAGACCCTTTAATCTGTTTCACAAGGTGTTAGCTACAATGTACCATACCTTAAATATTTCTACACTAATGCAAAGAGCATGATGAACATATAACAGGATCTCTGGGTCTTGGCTCAGTCCCAGAAATTTGACATTATTGCCACAAGTGAAACCTGGTGGGATGAGTCCTGTGTGACTGGAGTGGCCTGTTGGATGGTTAAAAGCTCTTTGGAAAGGATAGGAAGGGCAAAGAGTCATTGTGGAAATCTACCGCAGACCTTCTAGCCAGGCCAATGAGACTGATTAGTTATTCTTTGAGGAATCAAGGGATACTTCCAAGGAAAATGCTCTTTTTCTTATGGAGGACTTCAGCTTGCCAGAAATTGTGAGCATCAAACAGCTGGTATAAGCCGAGCCGGAAGACTCCAAAAAAGGCTGAGTGACAATTTTATGGAACAGGTCCTTAGGGAGTCAACTTGGAAACATGCCCTCCTTGATCTACTGCTTTACAAAAGAGAGGATCTTGGAAACCGTGTGGAGATTGGCAGTCATCTCAGCCACAGCAATCATGAAACAATAGAGTTCAAAATCTCTTGTCACAGGATGAAAAGTGCCAGCAAAACCTCAGCTCTGGGTGTGGGGAGAACAGACTTCAGTCTGCACGGGGAATAAGTAAAGGTCCCTGGGAAAATGTTTTTGCAGGTATTGGGGTCAATCAGTGATGGTCACTTTTTAAACATCACTTCTGAAGGGCACAGAAGCAGGCAATTCCCAAATGTCAGAAGTCAAGTAGGCAAGGATGGTGTATGCCCAGTGGAAGCAAGGTCAGGTGACATGGGAACAGTACAGACATGTTGCTTGCTGCTGCAGGGGAAAAAGTCACTTGGCCAAAGCTCAGCTGGAGCAGAAGCTGGCCAGAACTGCAAGAGACAGTAAAAAGAGTTGTTCCAGATCTCTTAATGGCAAAAGGCAGCATAGAAATAACATTGACCCATTATGGGATGAGGATGGCCACCACACAGAGACAGAGCAGAGGTGTTTAATGCATTCTTTGCCTCTGTCTTCAACATGGATTATTGACCAAGGGAGTGTCAGTGTCCTGAGCTGGAGGACCATGAGTGCAAGAATGATCAACTCCCAGCCAATCTTGAATTTGTGCAAGATCAAGCTGGATCCCTAAAAATCTGTGGGGCCTGTTGGGATTCATCCAAGAGTCTTCAAAATTCCAGATGATGTCATGGCAAAAGGTGTCTTGATCATTTTTGGGGAAGTCTTGTGATCTGGAGAGGTCCCAGCTGAAGGGAAGCTGGTGAATTTCAGGAAGGGCAAGAAGAACCACCCTGGAACTACAGGCCTGTCAGTCTCATTTCAGTGCCTGATAAAGTTATGGTGAAGAATATTCTGGGAGATGTTAAAAAACACCTGAAATACAATATAGTCTTTGGTCATAGCCAGCAGAACTTCATGAAAGGAATGCCCAGGAATTATTAAACCCAATCTCCTTTTATGACAAGTTGATGTAATCAACAGGTTGGGATTTCAGTAGAGCTTTTCATACTGTTTCACAGGATCCTTCTGGACAAAAATGTCCATCATTCATGTGGATAAACACATCATGTGATTGCAACTGGCTCATGAGTTGGGCACAAAGGTGTACAGTGAATGAAGTGACATCAGACTGTGGATCTGTCACTGGTGGGGTTCTGTCAAGCTCTACCCTCCTTAGTCCTGCACTCTTCAACATCTTCATAAATAACTTGAACACAGAACTGGAACAGATGCTAAGCAACTTCAAAGACAATACAAATCTGGGAGGAGCTGTTGACTCCTACAAAGGCAGGGAGGCCCTGCAGAGACACCTCAACAGATTTGATATGATATGAAGCTCAAAAAGAAGTGCTGGATTCTGCACCTGAGACAGGGAAACCCTGGATGTAAAGTTCTGTGATATATTAATCAAATACAGGGATATGGCTCTAAAATATGAAGAACTTGTCATCACAGTTGAGTTGAGTTTAATGCTAGGTGGAAAATTATTAAAATGTAATACACTTGTTAAGAAGCAATTCTTTACAGAAATGGTGATTGGAATAAGCTATCCAAGGAAGTGGAGAAGTCACCATCCTTGTTGGTATTTAAGGACAGACTAGATGTGGCCCTTAGTGCCCTGGTCTAGTTGACAGGGTGCTGTTTGATTGATGTTTGGATGTGATGATCTCAGAGGACTTTTTCAACTTAATTGAGTCTGTGATTCTTTAAAAAAAAAAAAAAAAAAAAAAAAAAAAATTCCTTTTGATTCATTAGTATTGATCTTCCTGTTATTTTCATTGTTCTCTTTTTAATCATATGTCCAGTGTGATTGATTTGCTGTATGGTGCTTAGTTGGCAGAGAGAAGCAATTACAAAGAACAGTTATTTAGAAGTACATTTTGTATGAATGATGCAAGCTAATGTCATCTTTCTAGCTTTCCTATTACTCATTTGCTAGCTAATTATCCATATGTCACAGTATTTTGAAAAATGTGTTGAAAACATTTTTTGCTTCATTCTGTCTATTCTGGTTTTCCATAGAACACATGGACTATTTTAGGGCAGAAAATGAGAATGTTAAAAAAAAAAATATTGAAAGGTCATGAAAAATAATTTCTCTAATTATTTGTATCTGTAAGGACACCAGAAAATACAGGTTGTACTGACTCACAGTTTTAGCATGTATCTGTCAGCATGCATTTGTTGAGGTCATAGAAATAATGCTACCTTGGAAGCATATTTGTAAAAGGGAAAAGGATGACACAATGCAGTGAAAAATGGAGAAAAATGTGAGAAGCCACAGTGTGAACAGAAATGCAATAGAAAAAAGAGGGAGGTAATCTGATACTCCCTTGCAGCTCATGGAAGACACCACAACAGAGCAGATATTTTCTGCATCATTTTTTTTTCCTGCATTCTGTGAAAGATTTTGCACTGGAAACAGTTTTTCCCTCCAGAACACAGAAAGGAGCACTATACATCCACTATTTAAGTTCTTCCTGAGGAAGGGTCTAATGGAAGCTAGGGAAGAAAAGAAGTCTCTTACAGGACAGTGCAGAAAAGGACAAGCCTGTTGCTCTTACTGGAGGCAACAGTGGCTAGTGCAGACAAGCTGGACTTTAATGGCAATGTTGTAGTAAAAATAATAGTAGAATTCACAAAAATAATGAACCTAGTATTAGTAACAGTTTGTTTACTCACCCCTAAGTCAGCTGATAATGCCAATTTTTGTAAACAGATGTCAGCATGACTCAAAAGTATTCTACATAATTTTGCAGACAATTCTGAATTGGGAGGAGCTGTTGACTTGCTTGAAGGCAAAGAGGACCTGCAGAGAAACCTGCACAAATCAGAGGGCTGGGCAATCACATATGAAGTTCAACAAGGGAAAGTGCCAGATTCTGCACCTGGGATAGCAGCTCTGGATATGTGTGCAAACAGGGTTATGAGATGCTGGAGAGCAGTGCCAGCCATGCAAAGGTATCTGGGGTCAGTGCTCTCAGGCACAAGATGTGGTTCTTGGGGCTGCCCTGTGAAGGGACGGGAGTTGGACTTTGATCATCCTAGTGGGTCCCTTGTAAATCAGGATATTCTGTGTTGTTACATAATTAGCCCTTGGATTAATGGGCACAATATAATAATTAGAGCCGGAATCTTTTTAAAAGCCATGAAAGGTGTAAACTACATACATTGCTTATAGTTGGCCACTGGGCAAAGCAAATGACAGCTCAGTATGGGATGCCAAGTCTACATTCTCCAGACAGCTCACAAGGCCACGGGGTGGAGCCCCAATGACACTACACACTGCTCTGAGATCCCATAGGAAGCCAGCAAGCACAAGCACTATGTGGAAATGAGGTTGCTTACACCCCAGTATACACCAAGCCACTAAGTGCCTCTGGTGTATCAAACATTCTGACAAAGATGCAAATGAGTGCCCAATGCATGAAATAGCGACTCATTTAATTGTCCCCCAAACAGCGCATCTAGGTAGCACAGTGGTAAGGGTAAAGCATGTCCACCTTGGAATTGCCAGAGATTAGATGAAAAGATGTAGCTAAGATGCCCCTGCTGTGGCTGTATCCACCAGCCCAATGAGTGTTTCATGCAAAGCTGCTTATGCAACAACACCAGTTATTTACAACGCTGTCTTAAGCTGCCGTTAGAGAGTTAACTGTTGCCCTCTCACAATTACCCCAGGCTTGTGACAAACATATTTTGAGTGACTAATTTTCTGCTGGATGTCTGAGAGTGATCCTTTAATGCTTTTGGATAAATTGTACCTTCTGGGTAACCTTGAGAGAGAGGCCTCCCATGACAGTATGAGTTTATGCATGCTTTGGATCATCATCCTTGTTCATGTGGTAATCACAACCCTGACTGCTACACCATACCTGTAACCTGTAAAATGTCAAAGGAGGGTCATCGTGGTTACCCTCCTTGTTTATTAGTTTTTCCCCTTGGTTTTTGTTGTTAATTAAGTTTTTTCTGAGTCCACTATCTTTGTGAAGTTTTTTTTTGTGCACTTCTGTGACATGTTAATGCTAAAAATAAAAAAAAGTTTGTTACATGAAACTTTTCTTCCCAAATAATTTACTTCTGTTTTTTCAAACACAAAAGTTACATGCATGTTCAAGCTTTTGAAATTCTACAAAACTCTTTTGTTTTGCTTTTCATTATAATTTAGTCTATACCTGAACACTTTTTCCTACTTAATAAAATAAGACAAAGTGGCTATAAAGGTCTGCTGTCAATAACCAGTCCTGTTAAAAAGTATCTGCAACCTTCAAAGGCTAAGAAGGTTGTGGAACTTGGCTCATGGGAGAGCAAGTTAATAAGCAGAAATGCAAGCTTGCCAGGCTGTTGAATCCAAAACCCTTAATACTTTTTGCATGCTTCTTTTCTTCTGCACTCCTTTTTACCCAAATAAAAAAACAGCTGTTCAATTAGATTAGTCTGTCTTTCTTTTTCACTTCATCTGTCCTCATGCAGAACTTCTAGAATACAATATAGAGAAAAGATTATCATATTCTACATAGAGCACTTAGAATGTTTATTTTGTTAAATCAATGTAGAGAATTTGACTAGAAGAATACAGTCACATTTTAGATACTATGTTCCATTACAGATAAAACCTCCACACCCCTTAAATATATACAGACAAATATTTAGCTTCTAAGTCAAAACATGAGTTGTCATTACTTACCCACAAAAGATATTAATGAATGTTTTATTAATTATTAAAGAAACCTCCATTAATGATACCTTTGTGAGTGTTAAACAAAAGATGTGACAAAGACCAACCGCTCTTCTCTCGTGTTCTGTGTTCCTGCCCATATCTCTGGGGCTCCCTGCCTGACTGCAATAGTCTTCCTCAACTGGGGTCATGGGTGTTGCACTGAGGTTCAATGCCTTGCAATCCCTTTAGCCCATGGCTCCTTTCAGTATGTGTTTCTTCACACACATTTTCTGCCCACCAGCTGCCTTTCCTTTCCCTTTTCTCCAGAAAAGAGCAGCCTAATCATTACAAAAATATCTTTCCACAATTTTAGAAACTGAGAACAGTTTGGAGTGTGAAACTTAGTGTTTTGTTAAGGTTTTCCATAGTTTTTAATTAAAACCCATTTTTAGGTCCTTCCTGTCTAGATTTAATCTGCTAGTTACTTCAAAAGGAATGTATTTCCACATATCCTGTGATACTTCCACTATGATCACTGAAGCTGCTGTTAGACTACCCATATTGTTCATTGTTTTTGTGTATCTTCATCACTTTTTAAAATACTCTAACCACATTTCAGATTGTTGTGGGAGCACTTATAATTTTGGGAGTGGTTTGTTTTTTTTCTTTTTGG